ACGTAATGCCCAGGAAAAAACCCAACAGGAGATTAAGCCCTTATTATACAGTAAATTGTATATACACTATACAAAATATCACACTAGTGCATTTCCTTTCTTTGAAGATAGGGAAGAAATGGGTTATCGTCAATACAGGAGGACATTGGTACTCAGAGGTTAAACGGTCTACAGGCCATCTCAGGAGAGCTAGGAAAAGGAAAAAATAGGTTCTTACCTGTCATTTACCTCCCAGGAGAGATTGAGTGCTTTTTATTTTAGTTTACTCATTTATTTGGAAGTATAAGAAGAATCAAAACTAAGCTTTCAAAAGATGTTTCACCAAAGTAGAAAAGGAGCTCTTTGGATTTGTTAATAATTATATCAACACAAGTGAAAACAACTATGACATAGTACACATTAAATCAGCCACAAAATAAACATAAGTAAACTTCTCCAATGAGTAACAGGGTACAGTTTAATATGTGATTCAATTAATGCTGATGGTCTCGGCAACTGGAAAAGTCTTTCTGAAGAAATATAATAAGGTAAAGCAGAAGCCTTCGGAATTGTGTCACACTTGATTTGGAAATATATGGCAAAGAATTTTTCTAAGGAGGTAATCCTAAAAAAAATTAAAACTTGAGTTTTCTGTAAGCATATTAGTTATAATGTCAAATATTGAAAAATATCTAGTACTTTTGGAGGGACAAATGGTTTTAAAATGTCGTGTGTAAACATAATGTAAACCTAAATGGATGAAAAACTAAGCCTGAAGGTTGCTACCAGTGGAAAGCTACATACTTACTTATATTAGGTTAATAAATAGAAAACAGAAAACAAAATATGTATAAAGAGAATTACAATGCCACGCTGAATCAAATTTGTTCAATCACAGCTGCATATAAGGCTTTCTAAATTCAAGAAATATATTACAAATATATTTAATACCTTTATTAATATACCTTAATACCTTTCTTAATACAGTAATCACATATTAAGAAGCATGTAATAAAATCTGGAGATTTTACTGGCACATTTTGCCTGTAAGTTATGTAAACAGTCAATGTAAATAAAATCTTAGATTTATCAATACACAATTTAGACAGAAATAAATGTGGTTTGTGATAAGTTTAAATTTATGTACCTGATAGAGGGTCTCACTCTGTAGCTCGCAGGTGGGGCCAGCACAACATGTGTTGTTGGGGATCAAACCCAGGTCTTGTGCTTGTCAGGCTGGCGCTCGGACCACTGAGCTACTTCCGTAGCATAATTTATATTAGATTGGTTTGAGTACTGCAATCAGAGTGGAACTGGTTGGTCAAACTTTTTTTTTTTGTATTTAGGACAGGGTGTACAGGGTCTCACTGCATTGATTGGACTCAAAGTGATCTGCCAGTTTAGAGCCTCCCAAGAGCTGGAATTACAGGCATGCGCTACCACGCCCAATCTCAATCACAGTCTCAGCGTGCCCCAGGGGCAGGGCCGGCATGGCAGGCCCGGGGATCAAACTCCTAGCCCCTGTGTCTGCCTAAGCAGGCGCTTTAATCCGCTGAGCTATTTGGCTGGCCCTAGGCTGGTCAAACTTTGATGGTCTTCACACAGAAATAATTCACTGAGCCACTGACTTCAATCTCCAATATTCTTATTTCAATAATGAAACAAATTTACATGAATCCTGACTCTTGAACAGTGGCTGGGCTTTCTCTGCCTTGTCCAGAACACCTTTTGGACACCTTTAGACATCAGTAACAAGAGGCAGCTTTGCTGGGTCACACAGAAAAGGCTTCCTGTTCTAACCCTTTTCATTTGTAGAAACAAACAGCAACTCTAGGTTCATCCTCATGCAAAAGCTGTCTTCAAGAGAAATTTGTTTTGTCTTATTCTCCCTCTTTGCTTGGCTTCTTTATACTGTTAGTGTGCATCTTTTTGGACCTAAGAAAAGTTTAAAGGAAATGGCAGTGCTGATGTGTTCATCTGAGGGTGAATGAGGGCTGCGTGCTGGACTTGCAATCAGTAATGCACAGGGGTCCTTGAACGCAGTTTTAGTGAATTCTGAAGAGTTAAGATGCATTTTGAATTACCATGGACAGATCTCATGAAAGCAAGTCTCCACGAAATGTTCGTAGAAAGTGCAGAAGTAAAAAAGGCAGTAGGCATTTCAGAACATGAACTCCTCCAGCTCTCCCCGGCATGTAGTTAAACATCTGATGGGTTTTCTCCCTACCAGCAACGCAGCAGCGGGCAGCGAAGGCAGAGGTGGAAGCAGTCTGAACAGTTAGATATCTTCCTCTGAGATGGAGGTCAAAATCAGCCCACCTACTTTAAACATTCCATTTTTATAAAATGGATATATTTGAGCGGTGAGGCATCCCTCTAAAAAGCCCAGAGTCTTACCACATGTATAAGACTCACATTCAGAGATAGTAAAAAGGCCTAAATATCTTCCTAAAGTTCATCACACAATAATGTTTTCTCCATTGCTGTTCCTGAGTAATGTTCTTTCTTTTCTTTCTGCGGTACCAGGGACTGAACTCAGGACCCTGCGCTTGCCAGGCAAGTGCTTATTCTACTGAACTATCTCCCTGGCCCCTGCAATGTACTCTAAAAGCTCACTTCATTTCAACTTCAGGAGTTATCAGAAAACATACCCACACATCATCTCATACAGATGATCAAAGTAGAGCTTCGGAAAACCCAGTGTCTTTCTGAAGGAGACAAAGCATTAAGTGACCAAACCAAAGTGAAGGGCCAGCCAGCCAGCTCAGCAGACTAAAGCGCCTGCTTAGGTACAGCACAGGGACCAGGGTTCGACTCCCGGTGTGCCACGCCGGCCCCACCCCCAGGGCGCACTGAGACAGTGACTGAGATTGGGAGAGGTGGTGCATGCCTGTAATCCTAGTACTTGGGAGGCTGAAAACAGGAAGATGGCTAGAGTCCAATCTGTGTAGTGAGACCCTGTAGACGCTGTACTAAATACATAAAAGAAACAAAGTGAAGCTCATGTTCCCCTCACAGTGTTATCTGGGTTTCTAATATACATAAAAGTTTTGGCCAAGAGGTGATAATCAGAGTAGCTTTAGAAGGCTGGCACAAAAGCATCACCAAAGTAGCAAAAATCAGCAAGAGGGGATGCAACACAGAGACAAGATACACACACACACACACACACACACACACAGCGTGCCCCCCCCCCCAGCAGTCTGTAATTGCTAAGCAGCTCTTGGTATTTCTGCAGGCATCTCTGCCATATCTTTGACAGAGGTCACAGCAGGGCGCAATCTTGGAGTCGCAGTCCTAGGTCACTGCGAGCGACAGTTCATGCAGTCCATCCCACCATGTCAGAGGGGAGCCATGCGGTGCCTTTCTTTTTCCAATAACATCAAAGCTTGGCTACTGACATACGTGCTAAAGTTACAAGCTCTTGTTTTCTATACTCTTCTACTATATATAATTGCCCCTTTGACAATAAAGGACTTCATTGTGCTTGGCTATACATTTTATGTACACCAGGTAGTGGGGTAGGCATTAGGCCACGTAGTGTTTGTGCAGTAGGTGTGCAGGTCTACAAGTCTACATACCAAGTGCAGCGCTGGCTCGGACACTAAGGTCAGAATGTAAGAAGTCACTGTCCGCCTCTCCATCTTTTTGGTGTTCTTACTTTATAAGCACAAATTAAGCAAATGCACAGTCTCTCTCTCTCTCTCTCTCTCTCTCTCTCTCTATATATATATATATATATATATATATATATTCCCCAACTTAATAACTTTAATAATATATGCTTCATAATGATGTAATAACATGTTTGCATTGCTTTTGAAAGAAAAATGAAATACAACTGAAGTTAAAAATGCAAAACCATGTCTAACCCTAGTCAAATCTTCATCTTCAGGAATGGGAGGTGTATACTATAAGCCCCAGAGTTACAGAGAGCTAGACATCCAGGCTAGGGGATGACACCAAGGAAGCTAAGCTGAATTTTCCAAATCTACACAGTGCTGACCCCAGTGCACCATGCCGAAAGCTTCTTTTTAGGTTGGGGCATCTCGGGACTATGGGAGAAACCATGGCTCCTTTGTTGATTTGCAAAAACGTGCTACTCTCCATATTGATTTTCTAGGCAGATCAAAATCATGCAGACAGATCACAAAGAAATGTACTTCAAATTTTAAATATTTGTACTTACTCATCAACTTCCTCTGAGGATAGCTCAGTAAATTAAATAAGCCTACAAAAAAGCTAAGCTAGGGCCGGGGAGATAGCTCAATAGAATAAATGCTTGCTTGGCAAGCGCAAGGGCCTGAGTTCAGTACCTGGCTCCACATACACACAAAAAGCTAAGCTAATGTGACTGATAATTTTTTTAGTCACCAACTGTATTATTACAACAGAGTTTTCTTTATTTTACAGAAGAAAATAACTGCCCTTAGCTCAATCAGCACTCATATTAATTTCTCTTTAAGGGGCTCTGCAATAAAGGGCTTCTTCACATCACGGCAATCTCATTAGGTAAGGAGGTTACTAAAGAAACACTCTGAACAGACAAGACTGATCCAATGTCCCAGAGAAAATGGTAAGACAGAATGTGGTTCTTCCAGGTGTTTGGAAGAGTGCCGACACATCCAGAGACCACAAAGTTTCCCTAAAACGTACTTAGATTTCAAATGCAGGGTAGAATTGAACCAAAGGTACGCTCTACTCCTTGGAAAGCCTTCTCTACTCCTTGGAAAGCCTTCCGATCCCTGAGAGAGGAAAATGTTAGCTTGTAGCTACTGTCCATGCTTGAAGGGCAGAGGCGGGTGATCTTCCCAGCAGAGGCGCTTATCAAAAGGAACCTTACCCCAATGCTCTTGTCAGCTTCCTATGACTTGGAAATAGAGGGGAACATCACGATATGTCAACTTGCACACAAACACACATTTGACACCTGGTTAAATCAGCTCGCGGCACCCTCTGGAGTGCCTGGCATTTGGCCAAAGGAGACAAAGCCCTGGAGGGAGACAAGCAGAAGAACTTACAATGTAGCAGGGCTCGCAGTATGCTTTCTTCTCCACAGCATAGAAGGGCTGCCCTCGGAGCTTGTTGCTGCAGATGATGCAGGTGAAGCAGTCCACGTGGAAGACCTGATCCATGGCAGTGCATCCCGTGCCTTCCCCAACCACATTCTCCCCACAGCGAGCACAGCGGCCTGTGGCAAGGAAAAGAAGAGGGATCATTAGGAGAAACAAAGGAATTCTCTGCTCCTCCTAAAAACACCAACACAGGAGAGGCAGCCGATCGATCTGTACTGTCAGCAGCAGCCACAGGACCACCCGAGTTGATCAATAGCGTTGTACAGTCACCACTCGACTTTGTAAAGGCAGCGAGACAGGATTTCATAGTGTCTTAGTTACTCTTCTCTCTTGTTGGGACAAATACCCGACACTCAAAATGAAGGAAGGAAAGGTTTGTTTAGCTCACAGTTACTGGAGGCTTCAGTCCATACTCAGCTGGGTCCAACGCAGAGCAGCACAGAGCAGAAAGCAACCTTTCATGGTGGTGGCAAAGAGCAAGAGCACAAGGGAGGGGTAGCAGCAGCTCAAGCAGCTAGCTTCTCTTCCCACCTTACATTGTAATGCAAATTACCTGCCCCAGGGTAGGAAAAGTACTCATACCTATGTGTACTTCCCAGTACTTACCCACCTATGGGTAATCCCAGCAGTACTAAAACCCATAATCCCAGCCTCGGATCACACATAATCCCAGTGGATCATGAGTTAACACAAACTCTAGAAGTCCTCACCCCATGACTGTATGAGGCTTTGGGGGGACAACTAGACACAAACCATAACACATAGGAGGCAGCTGAGGAGACTACCCGAAGGTCCCAGAGAAAGCAGTTCACTAGAACCCTGCTCTCTGACTTTGTCTCGCCTCTAACATCACCTACAGGTATATGGAAAGGTCGCATAACTCAGGACATTTGGACCAAAAGGCATAATCTACAAAACAGTCTGGGACAGGTTTTCTCCTTGGGGACTATGCATCTAGGTAGAAGGTAAGAGATCTGGGTCCAATGCAAATGTTCATTTCTTTCCCCAAAGTTCTGGTGGTCAGATTTCTGTAGTGAGCCTTCAGTGGTCAGCAGATCACAGCGTAGCCTCTTTTATCTCCACATTACTTGGACTGTAGAGAAAAATTCTCCACGATATTATGCCAGCATGCATCTTCATCGCAACGCCTACCCTAAAAGCCCACTTAGTTCTGTCTTTCGTGGCCTCATGATAGATGCCTCATCTCTTGGACTTGACACCTTTTAAGACATTACAACTCCGCACAGCCTCTACATATGTTCTGAGGTTGAACATCCCTAACTCATCTAAACTTTCCAAGTACCCTGGTGGTGTGAGTCCTCCCTGTCCCTCGTCCTGCCATGAATCACTATCTAGTGTTCCGCAAAATTATAGCATTCTTAAATTGATTAAGGAGACATCTGGCCTGTATATGAAACATACAGATAGGTTCTGCACATGGCTTTAAGTTGTAACAATGAAATAGAATTTAAGACAAAAGAGACACTGTGCTTGTTGGAACAGATATCTCTCTCTGACTCCGCCATGAGAATCTTGAGTCACAGGTCAAGTCCACATCAAATCTGCCTCCTTAAGCCTTTGTCTCTAAATTTAAAATCCCAACAGATAATTATAGACCACTGGGAATGTCAGCAATAATTTTCATAGTTTTGAGCATAACTTATAACGATGCTGGTTTCACGTATGCCAGGCATTTTCTTGGGGCTCCTCGTATATTAATGATAACATGTGTAGATACTATTGCTGTCATGCAGGTGAAGAAAATGAGTCACAAAGCATGGTAAGCACCAGCAGTCTCAGGCAGTCCAGCTTCAGATCCTGTGTTCTTGCCTGCTACGGAATATTGCTTCGTTCTAGTTGTGTGCGTTGGGATTAACACAGATTTGGCATGCAGATCATGATGGAGAGATTTGTAACCAACGACTGCTTTCAGCACTCCCACCATGGTGGATTGACAACCGTTTCACACTCAAAAAATGAAAGGGCTCAATGTTTCAACTTGGAGGAAAATAGAGGTAAATATACTTCTGATCCTCTTGGGCTGCATTTGGCCAAGGAGAGTGTTTCTTCATATCCTATTACAGGACTATAATGTCTTTCACAGGGCCAGACAAACAGCTCAATGGACTAAAGTGACTGTTAAGGCAGACACAGGGGCTGGGAGTTCGATCCCCAGGCCTGCGGTGCCAGCCCTGCCCCTGGAGCACACTGAGATGGTCATTGAGACTGGGCGTGGTGGTGCACACCTGTAATCCCAGCACTTGGGAGGCTGTAAACAGGAGGACCCCTGCAAGCCCCATTGACATAATGAGACCCTGTACTAAACACACACCAAAAACAAAACAAAACAAAACAACCCCAAAATTAAGGCTTAACCTATCCATCAGTTTTTCCAAAGAGTAAGAAATATTAATTGCTTATTAAAAACAGTTAAGCTCTTGAAAATGAGCCATATCTGCTAGAGTTGATATTATTATGAAGGTATAACATATGTTCTTGACATTTGATACAACTTTTGTGTAATAACTTTAATAATCTTTTTGTTTGGCAAAGCATCTTACTGCGCAGCTTGGACTCTTAGTGATCCTCTTGTAATCCAAGGGCTGGGATTACAGGCTATGCCTGGTTTTGGTGGCTGGCTCAGAATACCCGGGGGCGGGTCCGGTGTGTTATGTGGTGCTGGGGCCGGAACCTCGGTCCCTGCACCTGCCTTAGCAGGCACTTAGTCCACTGAATTAT